CGGGGGAGGGGAGGGGAGGGGATGCTAGGACCTGGGTCCACTCCCCACAAGGAACGAGATCGTCAGGTACTGCAGGCAGGGACTGGTGCAAACAATTGTAATAAATGAAAGAAATTAAAATTTTAAAGTAGAAGGGCAGGGATTTAATTCAGCGTCACCGAGTCTGCCTGGCAAGCAAGTGCAAGGTCCTGAGTTCAATTTCCAGGACCAAAACCAAAACCAAAACCAAACAAACAGAAAGGAAGGGCATCATCAGAGGGCTGGGGTGCCACTCAGTGCAGGGTACTCACCTAGCAGGGCAGGTCCCATTCAGTCTCCTGCTGAACCCCCACACCCTGGTCCCGATCCAGGATTCTGACGCCGTCCCGTCTGTCAGTCATTCCATTATGGCTGGAGCACAGAACCTGACCATGCTGACCCCAGGTCCTTTGCACTGGCCAGAGCTTTCTGTCTCTCAGGGTGGGATTGCACACTACAGCCCAGTGTCCATGGAGCACACCAGGCTGCTCTCTGGGCATCCGCTCTGACACCCGGGGACCCCGAGTGACTGTTGCCTCCCTGTTTGCAGTCCCTGAACACCGCCATGAAGCACTTCTGTGAGATCCTCACCGCCGACCCCGAGGGCGGCCCGGCCCGCATCCCGTTTGACACCTTCTCCTATGTGTACCGCTACCTGTCCAGGCTGGACTCGGACGTCTCGGCGCTGGACACGGAGTCGTACCTGGCCACGCTGAAGGACAGCGTGTGAGTGGGGGCCCCACCGGAGGGAAAGGCGCAGCTGGGTGCGGGGTGTGGATCTCGGGGCTGGGCCCCCCCCATCACCGGGAGGGACAGGCTCAGGAGAACGAGCACTGACACTAGGAAGGCCCTGAATTGGTCTTGCATCTTACATATTCTAGACTAGGTGCTTAGAAGTGACGCCGTGTTAGAGTGAGAGGCACGGTGAAGTAGGTGATCATCCCCAGCTGCCCGACCGACTCTGTGACCTGCAGAAATCCCAGGGTGTCCTCGACATCACTTAACATGTTTTATTTATTTATTTATTTATTTATTTATTTATTTATTTATTTATTTATTTATTATTTTTTGAGACAGGGTCTCACTGTGTAGTTCAGACTGCTCTGGAACTCACTATGTAGCCCAGGCTGGTTTTGAACTCTCAGCGATCCTCCTGCCTCAGCCTCCCAAGTGCTGAGATTACAG